GAACAGCAACAGAAACACCAAAACACCCCAGGGAGACAGACTTCTCAGAAACCAGGTGTTTTGTAAGGAGAGCAGCATTATGACTCATTTCCAAGTGAAATTGGCAGATATCCATGTAGATTATAATGTTTAGGAAAAACCATTAGATTTCTCATGAGATTTCAGAGTTTGGATAGTTTTCAATGGAAGATAAATTTGACAGCCTGCAAGGATAACATCTGATTACCCCCATATATGCAAAGAAATCTAAAAATATTCAGAAGCACCAGGATGTTCACAGGATAAAGAATGGGCCTGTATCCCTGCTCCAAGGTCTATATCCTGGAAACTCAGCAGCAAAGTAGAAATAACAGTCAGAGGGAAGAAGTAAAAGAATCGCTGCTTCCTTGCTCTTCAAGGGATAGAACAGAAAAGAGAAAGATAACTACAGATTCGGAGAAAATATCTGTGAATTATTTATCTGCTACTACCCAGAATTTATAAAGAACTCTTATGACAAGTAGAAAAATTACCTAATTAAATTGAGCAAAGGACCTGTATAGACATTTCACCAAAGAAGATATACAAATGGCTGATAACACATGAAAAGATTTCATGTCATTTGTCATTGAGGAATTGCAACTCAAAACCACAGAGATACCACATCATGCCTATTAGGATAGTTATAATAATATTTTTTTAATTTTTTAAAGATTTATTTATTTATGCACACAAGAAGTGGGTACAGACCAGAGGTGTGGGTGTGAGAGGACTCACCAGAGACCTAGTGGGGAATAAAACAGGCAGACTGACTAAAATACACTGCTAAGGGGAGCAGCAGGCGAATCAGGAGAGGTCTGCCATGCCATGTGGGCAGCTCACTGGCCAGGGATCGAACTCGAGCTTCAGAGGCTGCAGATAGCTTCATAGTGCTGTGCTTAACCCCTTGTGTCACCAGGGAGGCCCATAATAATAATTTTTTAAATGTTGGTGAGAATGTGAAGTCAGAGCCCTCAAACATTGCTGGTGGGTATGTACAGTGGTGGAGTTGCTATAGAAACAGTTTGGTGGTTCCTTCAAAAGCTAAACAGAATTACCATATGATCCAAAATTTCAGTCCTATGTACATACTCAAAAGAATTGAAAACAGGGACTCAGAAATTGTACACCAACATCTCTGGCAGCATCATTCACACTAGCCAAACAATCTAAGTATCAGTCAACAGTGGTGAACAAAATATGGTATATAACATATAATGAAATATTATGCTACCATAAAAAAGGAATGGAGGTACCTTGAAAACATTATGGCTAAATGAAATGAGCCAGACACTCAGGACCATGTATTGTGTTCCCACTTGCATGAACTATCTAGAATAGGCAAATTCATGGAGACAGTAAGAATACTGTATAGGTTATTGGGGAATTGGGAGGGTAAGAAGTGGGAGGGGTGAGTAAGTAGCTATTGCTTAATAGTTGCTAAGTTTCTCTGTGGAGTGATGAAAATTTTTGGAAATAAATAATGGTGATGGGGGCACCACACTCTGGATGTAAGCCATGCCACTGAATTGTGTGTTTAGAATAGCTGAAAGGACTCATCTTATGTTACACATGTACTTCACTACAATAAAATAAATAAATGTTATTATCAAGAGTTAGTTTCCCAAAGGAAAGGGAATGCTGTCCACAGAGGGAAAAAGTCTTTAAATAAAGCTGAAAGTAATTACTCCTCTGTGCAATAGCTCAAGCTACTTTGATTAGCCTTCAGGGGTTCTTGATAGTTGTCTTCATCTGAAAACACAAAAGTGGAGTTGGGGAGATGAGGAAGTATAAAACTGTCTTACCTGCCTCCTTGCCTCTTCTGCCTAATTCCCTCCCGGCATTTCTTCCTAACAAGGGAAGAAATGAGAAGTGGGAATCTGGGAACCCCAAAAGAGATGTTTATTGTCGGTGCTATTTCTTGTAGTAGCGTCATCTCCTTAAGCTCAGGATACAAATATGGTCACATCTCATTTGTGTGCAGTAAATGCTCAATGTCCAAGCCCAGATTAATAAGCAGTGATTGCCTTTCACAAGTGGGCTCCTATTGAACTTTTGGAGAATCGACTGGGGCAGCTTACACCATTCAAAAGCCCAAGGGAATGAGGGCCTGCTTTCCTGCTCCCCAGTTCTGAGTAACTTACTCAGTCGCCACAGTGATTTCTTCATTGCCACAAGGCGGCGCAGTTGCAATGCAGCCATGTGTGCTCACAGCTGCCAAGCCTCCCTGGCTGGACCTGCTGTTTTCAGAGAAGAGGCCAACGTGGTCTCTCTTAGAGCTTAACTTTTTCACCAAGGACTAAAATGGCATCAGGTGGTTCCAGCTGTTTCACAGTTTCCTTGCCCTCCCCACAGATTCTACACCATCCAGAGGTCTGGATGGTTTTCTTTAGAAAGTACAAAAGACCTGAACATAGCCTTCCCACTGGACAACAAGGCTAGTGTCCTTCATGTAAGGACATCGACCTTCAACTAATCCGGGGCATCTCCACCTCCCTTTTTTCGGATGACTCATTTGGTTTCTATGTCACAAAGGTAATTTGAGGACTTCCCTGAGTGAGTTTCACCTGAAAAAGGCAAACAAACAAACCAAATTTCCAACAGAAATTTATCAACAGATGATAATAAACAAAATGTGGTATATATGTGCGATGGAACATTATTCTGCCATGTAAAAGGAATGGATGAACCTTGAAAACATTATGCTAAGTGAAGTGAGCCAGACTCCAAAGGCTATTCAGAAATGAGGGGATATTCTAGGCCATTCAGAAATGCCAAGCACTTTTTCTTCTGATGAAGGTCATTCTACAATGAAGATCTTCTAGGATCTCCTGGTTCATGAGTAGGTGGCATGAGTTTCCTGTGGCATACAGGAGGGTATCTCAAGCCACATTCTCACCCCCAATACAAGGAAAACATCAACAGCAGACAAGACCACCTCCAACCCTGGTCTCGGACAACATCCACAGATAATTTCACAAGGATCACAGGGGAATCTTCCTCCTGCTTAGTTGCTTGAATGGGGCCACCCCGGGAAGAAAGAAATCAAGGCAAAGGGTTTGGGGAGGGTCCTTGAGGAGTCAAAATGTAGGTGGGCTACCAAATGAGTGGGCACAACCAGAAAATGATGGAGAAGAAAAGAAGAGAATTAGCCCAGACGCCTCAGCAGCACCACTCCCCCAAACACCTCCACAGAGTGGCTTGTAGGGCATGGAGGCCCTCTTGAAACTTTGTTTTTTTAACATTAAACTTTTTTTTTTTTTTTTGGAGAAAACTGCAGATTCGCATGCAGGGACACGCAGTTCTAAGAACTGACACGGGCACGCCCATGTTTTCGCCAAGGCGAACGGCCAGACGACTGCCATGTGGACACGGCTCCGTCAGCACTAAACCATCCCCCAAGGGCCCGCTGTGCCCCACCCCAACCCGCAACCCCCATCTGTTCTCCGTTTCTGTTATTTGTCGTTTCTAGAATGTTACATAAATGGAATCACACAGCACGAAGCCTTTGGGCACTGGCTTTTTTCACTCGAGTGCGCGGGCCTTGCGCCGCCCCGCGAGCGGCACTCGCCCACGCCGCGACCTTCATTGTTTTATGCCGGACACCCGCCTAGGCAGGAGGGCACCCCCCGTCCCAACGCTGCGTCCAGCCGGGCGCCTCTGCGCCAGGCCCACCGGACCCCGACCGCACCCCAGGGGCAGGGGCGGAGCCCGGCGCAGGGCGGGGGCGGGGCGCGCAGGGCCGCGGGGAGGGAGAGCGGGGAGTACAGGGGGAGGGGCTCAGGGGGCGGGGCGGAGCGTCACCTCGGGGCCTGGCAATAGGCGGGGCGAGGCGAGGGGCGGGATGGAGTGGGCGCTCGGAGCCGGGAGTGGGCGGGGCGAGAGTAGGGGCGCGCGTGGAGAGGCGTGGTGTGGGCGTGGCATTTCTGGGGCGGGGCTCGACGGCGTCAGGGCGAGGGTCGAAGGGCGTGTTGGGGGCGGGGGCCGAGGGTAGAGGGGCGGGGAGGGGCGTGTCCGGAGCGCGGCTAGCTAATCGAGGGGGGTGGTGTGGGCGCGGCGTTTCCGGGGGCGGGGCTCGACGGCGTCAGGGGTGGGGCTCGAAGGGCGTGCTGGGGCGGGGGCCGAGGGGAGAGGGGCGGGGAGGGGCGTGTCCGGAGCGCGGCTAGCTAATCGAGGGGGCGTGGTGTGGGCGCGGGGTCTCCGGGGGCGGGGCTCGACGGCGTCAGGGGTGGGGCTCGAAGGGCGTGTCGGGGGCGGAGGCCGAGGATAGAGGGGCGGGGAGGGGGCGTGTCCGGAGCGCGGCTAGATAACCGAGAGGGCGTTTCCGGGGGGCGGGGCTCGTCGGCGGAGGGGGCGGGGTCGAAGGGCGTGTCGGGGGCGGGGAGGCCTAGTGAATAGGGGCGGGGCGTGGGACCCGATGGTCGCGGGGGGGTGTCGGGGCGGGGCTAGAGGGTCAGGGGGCGGGGCTGTCCGGGGGCGGGGTCCGGGCTGGTGGCCGGCTGCCCAGAGGTCGCGGTCTGGCGCGGGCCTGACCCGCAGAGCGCAGCCTCCCGCCTGCTGGGAGCGCGCCGTCAGCCGCTCGCGCCGGAAACTGCTGTGCCGCCGGGTGTCGTCGGTTCAGGCGGCCCGGGTCCGAGTCGTGCGGGCGGTCCCGGGGGCTTGCGCTGGCCGGAGGGTGAGTGCCTCCGCCCGCCAGGTCCCAGGGGCTTGGCAGGGACGTTTCCCGGTGCCGCCTCAGGGCGGGGCGGGCTCTGCTGACCTTCACTTCCCGGGCAGGCTGGGAACGCGCGGTCCTCGTCGTTCCTCCCGCCACCCGCTGCCCACTCCAAAACTGGGATTGCACTGGAAAGGAGGAGAGCCAGACCAGGAGATTATTGCGCTCCCAGGCGAGGTTCACCGACCCCCACGGAGGCCAGAGAAGTCGCGCCCGTTGGGGCTTGAGGGGAAGCTTTGGTAGGGCGGGGTCTGGCCTTGGCGGGAGGTGGAGTCGAAGTTGCTCTCAGACCTGGTTGTTCTTTTTTTTTTTTTAAGATTTATTTATTTATGCATACAAGAGCTGGGGTACAGGCCAGAGATGAGGGGGGTGAGTGTGAGGATTCACCAGAGACAGAGCGGGGAGCAGAACAGGCAGCCCCACCAAACACACTGCTGAGGGGAGCAGCGGGCGAGACAGGAGAGGTCTGCTGCGCTATGTGGGTTGCTCTCTGGCCGGCAATCAAACTCGTGCTGCAGAGGCTGCGGACTGCTTCATAGTGCTGTGCTTAACCCCTAGCGCCACCAGGGAGGCCCGGAACTGGTTATTCTTTCATTGCTACTTATCAGGCCCAGCTTCCCGTCTCAGGGATGCAGGTGGCATCAAGTTCCCCTTTTCTGCCCCATCCCTGCCGCGACCTCGACCTTACTGTCCTTACCTCTTCCCGAGCTCTAGCACCTGTGGGGCCAGGGTAGGTGCTTGACGGAGTCGTCTTGTTTAATCTGTCCTCAACCCTTTGAAATCGGTGTTGTGATTACCTGCATATTGTGGGGAGCAGGTAGGGACCTCCGGACCACAGCTTGAGAAGGGGGTGCCAAGACTGAGGCCTAGTCGACTCCCAGGGCTGCACTGACCTCGCATGACCACTGTGGTTTGTCAAGGATACTGTGACCGTCTGTAAGAAGTCCAGCAAAAATCTGCTTCTTTAGCCTTTTATCTTCTCTGAAAACATCATATATTCTAGTGGGGCTATTTATAGTTCCGGGGGAAAGGAAAATTAGAGCCCAGGAATAGGGAGATGGTCCCACGTGGGCGTGGGCCTCTTGGCCATCTAGCCCCGCCCCTACACTCACCCCTGTTAGAATACGGATGTGGAACTCCCCACTATGGAAAGAGGCATAGGAAAGTGAAAACAAAAAAGCCTCTGGCTGCTGATTAGGATAAAATAATGTGCATCATTTGATGCACATTTGAAGGGGGTATACATAATAGCTTGATGACCTTGCCTTCTTTCTTCCTATAGACCTGGGGAAGAGCATACTTTCTGATAATGGAAGAAACGTGACTGCTATGGAGTGGGGTAGTAAAGAAGGTGAGGGGGTGGGAAGAGCCCTGGACAGCTAGTCAAGAGCCTGGGCACATGGAGACCTCCCTAAATCCACGGGCTAATCTTAAAGACCAAGAGAAAGGATACCAGGGGTACCAAAGAGGTAGGTTCCTAACTATTCCATCAGTAGTCAATTCAGGCAAGTAGGGAAGGACTCAAACACACGTGGGGTCTGGGGGTGTTTGGAGGCCCCACCCCTGTCTGCAAGAGCCCTTTGCTCCCTTTGCCTGTTAAGTGCCCAGCTCAGCTCTAGCCTCGGTTAGATCAGCCTTTTTTCCTTTCTGTCCCCAGGCCATCCAGTCTTGGGTGACGCCCGTTCCTCTGCCCCCCTACTCTCCCTTTTTGTGGGATTCTACATATCCTCACCCTTTACCAAGGGCTCACAGACAGCCGGAGACTTGCTAATTGAGACCCTGCTCCAGATTCCAGTCATGGATAAGCTCAATTTCTGCCTTTATTTTTTCCATTATCCTGCCACTCTGACGTCTTGCAATGGTAGTTTGGCCATGGCTTGCATCTCCCAGTGTCTCCACACTGGCCCAGGTCATGGGCTCCTAAGCCTTTAGTGGAGCAGATTTGCTGGTGGCACCTTATCTCTTTTTTTTAAAAAAAAAAAAAAAAGATTTATTTATTTATTTATGCATACAAGAACTGGAGTATAAACCAGAGGCCTGGTGGGTGAGAGGATTCACCAGACAGAATGGGGAGCAGAACAGGTAGAGCCACTGAAACACACTGCTGAGGGAAGCAGTGGGTGAGACAGGAGAGGTCTGCTGCACCATGTGGGTCAGCTCCCTGGCTGGGATTGAACTCATGCTGCAGTGTCTGGTGAGAGCCCGATAGTGCTGTGTCTTCAACCCCTGCGCCACCAGGGAGGCCCAGAACCTTGACTCTTGAAGAATGAAGCTGGTTATCTCAGAGTTGGCTGCCAGGGCTGAGGAGTCAGGCCTTCTCTGGTCCACGAGGCCCTACTGTCTCCAGAGCCATATCCTGTGGCGGCCATGGCAGGTGTGCTCCGCCTCTCTCACCCACCTCAGCCCGGCCGGGCCTCTGCAGACTATGGCTACACTTGTAGCCATGGATTTCCTTCAGCCTGCTCAGCTAACTTGGTTACCTGGAGGAGAAAACTGGGGAGAGAGAGGAAAGACCGAGAGGCAGGATTCCCCGTTTCGTATCTGCTCTCTTGTTTCCCAGGGCCTCTTCTCTATGGCTACCTGTGTGCAAGGTTTAAAAATGGTGTTGATTTTGACACTGTGGCTGATTGTCCTCCAGGCCTGAGTTCCAGGGGGCCTCTTGCCTCTCCTGAGAATTCTTTTTTCTCACATGTTTGTGCGGCCTTCACAAAGCAGCTGTGAGGCCCAGAGTTGGCACAGGGCCCTCACCCCGGTGTCTCCCCACTTCCCTCAGGTGTTGTTTCCTCTTCCAGATCGCTGGGGTCACTGAGGACAGCCACCACACCTGAAAGCCACACGGAATCCCACTATTCCAGGATCAACTGGAGACCCTCCTCTCAGAGACACCCCAAATTCCGAGACCATGGCAGGTGACTATTGGCTGGCGGGGAGTTAAATTTTCAAAAATGCGAAAATTTTAAATCAGAGTTGAGTACATTGTTAAAAAAAATCCAGCTAACACTGAGGTATATAAAACTTGCATATAACCTGGACCCCTAGCTGGAACTACCTTGTTTGCATTTTCTCACATGTCTAATTGTCAGCCCCACCAGGATATAAGTCCCTCAAAAGTAACCGCCATGCTTAGCTCTGCCTCCAGTCTCTGGAATGGCCCCAGGGCATAGCAGGTGCTCAATAAATACAGTCACCCCAGGCTTAAGGCCCAGCTCTGTTCAGAGAAATATGTTGTTAGGAAGTTTTGTTGTTGTGTGAAGGTCACAGAGTGTAACTGCAGCTGGGCCAAACCCAGATGGGGCAGCCAACTACACACCTAGGCTTACCCAGTACAGCCAGTGGGGCCCCGCCGAACATGAGGGTCACTGTTGACTGGAATGTCATTCACTTTGCCTGCCTATGGCTGTTGAGTGAATGAGCACAGGAGTAGCCATGGTTGAAGATTCAGCGTGACTCCATCATTACTGTCTTCTGCTCACCACACGCAAATCTGCCATTTCTCTGGCTCTTCAGGGTAACATGAAAATCCTTTGAATTCAGGGCCTCCCTGGTGGTGCAGGGGTTAAACACATAATGCTATCAAGCTATCGCCAGCCACTGCAGCACAAGTTTGATCCCCGACTGGCCAGGGAGCTACTCACATGGTACAGCAGACCTCTCCTGTCTTGCCCGCTGTTCCCCTTAGCAGTGTATTTCAGTCAGTCTGCCAGATCTGTTCCCCACTCTCTCTGGTGAATCCTCTCACCCCCCCCCCCACACCTCTGGTCTATACCCCAGTTCTTGTATGCATAAATAATAAATCTTCAGGAAAAAAAGAAAGAAAAGAAAATCCTTTGAATTCAACACATAAAAACCAACCTCCTGGGGCCTCCCTGGGTTGCACAAGGAATTAAGACGCAGCATTATGAAGTTATCAGCAGCCGCTGCAGCATGAGTTCCATCCCCGGCCAGGGAGCTACCCACATGACGCAGCAGACCTCTCCTGTCTCCCCGCTGCTCCCCTCAGCAGTGTACGTCAGTCATTCTGCCTGTTCTGTTCCCCACTCTGTGTCTGGTGAATCCTCTCTTCCCCCCAACACCTCTGGCCTGTACTCCAGTTCTCATATGCATAAATAAATCAAAAATAAATCTTTAAAAAATGAAAACAACCTCCTTTCCACACAATATATTGTAGATTAGGATTTCTTGACCTCAGCACTACTGCACTACTGACATTTAGGGCCAGACTGTCCTTTGTTGGAGGGCTGACCTGTGCATCATAGGCTGTTTCTCAACATCTCTGGTCCTATTGACAAGATGCCACTGGGCATCCCCCCTTCACAATATCCCCCCTTCACACCCTTCCCAGTTGCGACAGCCAGAAATGTCTCAAGACAATGTGAACTGTCCCCTGGGGGCGTGGGCAAGTTGGTGAAGATTATTCTATTTGTATCCATTCTTCTTCTAAGTCTGCCCAAGTAGAGTTCCTTCATAACAAAGACATTTAAGAAGTTAACATAAAAAGTTTAATGATTAATTAATAATTAATGGAGTTCAACCTTTGTACTCAGTTCAATGCTCTGAAACTGTTTGCTTCAAACTAACACAGTTCATGTTTCCTCCTTGAGTGCCTAAACCAAAAATTTCAAATCAGGAGTTCAGACATTTTCATCTTAGCTGTTGCCTGTGCCCATCGAGTTAGATTAGCACAGCTGCCTCCCAGAAGTCAGTTCGTGATCTCACAGAATCTTCCATCTGTCAGTTTCTCTCTTTAGGTCAGTTAATTTTTGCTTTCTCTATTTTGGTGCTCCTAATTGTTCCGTTCTGTGGGTGGACTGATCTCTTTATCCTTAGATAATTGTCGAAGACCAGCCTCGGCAAAATGTCGTGTCAGGGGTCCCCGAAAGGATGAGATGGCCTAGGCGAAACTTTAAGGGCTGAAGGGAAGGGGATGAGGTAGTGAGAAGACACTGACGCTAGATGAGGTGCAAGTATCTCCTACTGAGGAACTCAGAGGGTCTTTATTCATTTTTAGCAGGCGTGAGATGACATCATCATATGCATAGAAGAAGCAAAGCAGAAACAATCAGTGCATTCTTTTCCCATAGACTTTTGGCTGCTATGTGCTCTCAGCGAGAAGGCAACCTTCAAGGTTAATAGATAAAAAACTAAAGCTTACACTAAAACTCATTATTTCAGTTTAGACAATTACCTAAGACAGTTGATAGCGGTCGGCACACTTAGGCATCAAAAGTTTCTTCTTATTCGCATGGCCTTCAGCCGAAGACCAGCTGCTTTCTGGTTATCAGCTAACAGGGTTTTTCTACCTAGAAACTTCTTAATACAATTAGCTTCATTTAAAAACTTTCCTAAGGGGCTTCCCCGGTGGCGCAGCGGTTGAGCGCTGGGTTGCGAAGCTGCCCGCAGCCTCTGCCGCGCCGGTTCGATCCCCGGCTGTTCCCCGGCCACCGGAGGAGGGTCCCACATGGCGCGCAGACCTCTCCTGCCGCCCGCTGCTCCCCTCAGCAGTGTACTTCGGTCCTTCTGCCTGTTCTGCTCCCCGCTCTGGCTCTGGTGAATTCTCTCACCCTCCCACGCTTCTGACTGTACCCAGTGCATGTATAAACAAATTAAAAAAAAAAAAAAAAGAAAAAAAATAAAAACTTTCCTAAGAAACTTCTAAAAACAAAAGAAGGACTTACTGTAATCATTGTGCTGGATTGCTTGTCAGGCATGTTCATGTATAACAAATTCTTTCCCATTGTCAGGCAGGCCAAATTTACAGTGTTTAATTTTTGAGCAGGTATTTCTTTGTGCCATTTACTTACAGTGTTCTATATGTATAATTTATTGCCCAATGTACTTTCTGAGAAGTTTTTTCTTATATGACCAAGAACAAAAAAAAAAGGGATGCTTGTAGTAGGTTATAGATTAATCTTCAGCCTCATGGTGCGAGGCACAAGGAATCTTCAGCCCCATCGTGTGAGGGTCTTTGGAAATCTTCCTTCGGCCCCGGCCCCATGGTGTGAGGCCCTTTTTCTTAGCTGCTTGTCAGTGTCTTATCTGGCTGGGGCAGCAAGGCCCCCCACAGATATTATCCATCTGTGTGTTTATTACCAGTTTGGTTTAAAGCAGTCTGTCTGATATGAGTATAGCCATCCCAGCCTTCTTTTTATTTCCATTTACATGGACTGTCTTTTTCAAGCCTTGCCCTCTCAGTCAGTGTCCTTTTATTTTTTAAAAAAGATTTATTTTATTTATTTATGCATACAAGGGGTGTAGGCCAGAGGTGCAGGGGGTGAGAGGATTCACCAGATACAGATTGGGGAGCAGAACAGGTGGATCTACTGAAATACACTGTTGAGAGGAGCAGCAGGTTGAGGTCTGCTGCGCCATGTGGGTAGCTCCCTGGCCAGAGATCAAACTCATGCTGCAGAGGCTGCAGATAGCTTCATTGTGCTGAGACTTAACCCCTTCTGCCAACAGGGGGGCCCCAGTGTCCTTTTATCTGAGGTGTGTCTCTTAGAGACAGCTTACAGCTGGATTTTGGCTTTTTACCAGCCACTCTATTCCTTTTTAATTGGAGGATTTAGTGTATTTACATTAAAGGTCATTCTTGAATAGCTCTGGCTTTACCATTTTGGAACTTGTTTTGTGGATGCTTTTATAGTTTCTCTCTGTTCTTTTTTCTTTTGTTCTCTTGTAGTTTGATAGCTCTCTTTAGTGTTAGGTTTAGATTCCTTTCTTACTTCTTTTATGTTTCCAGTGTAGATGTTTGTTTTGAGGTTTTTAAAAGGTTGATGTATACCACCCTGTGAATATAACATTCTATTTTAAATTGATGGCAAGTTCATTTTGAGCTCACTCTAACAGTCTGTATTTTTATTCTACTGCTTCTTATGGTTTATTTATATATTTTTTAGAGTTACTCTTTTTTTTTTTTTAACATTTCAGTATTTTTGCATAGAAGAACTGGGGTATAGGCCAGAGCTGTGGGGCGGGTGACAGGGGTGGTAAGAGGATTCGCTACAGACAGAGTAGGGAACAGAAAAGGCAGATGGACTGAAATACACTGCTGAGGGAAGCAATGGATGAAACAGGAGAGGTCTGCTGCGCCATGTGGGTAGCTCCCTGGCCGGGGATTGAACTTATGTCATTGCAGTAATAGCACTGAGACTCAACCCCTAGGCCGCCAGAGAGGCTCTGGTTTATTTTTTTTGATGCCATTTTTTGAATTCTTTTTTTATGTTTACTGTAACTGATTATTATGGTTTTAATCGATACTATGTCTTTTGTTTTTTATTCTTTGTGTTATCTTTATATATGGCTAACCCATTACCTTAACTACATATTGACTTTCGTACATGAGATGTTTCCCTTCCTATGTTTTCTTACTTCTTAGTGTCACTTCTTTATAGTTTATAGAAGCTCCTTTAATATCTCTTATAAGACCAGTTTATTGATGATGATATCCTTTAGCTTGTGTTGGCCTGGGAAGCTCTTTACTTCTTCAATTCTGAATGTTAACCTTATCAGGAAAGGTATTCTTGGCTGAGTTTTTTAAAATCTTTTAGCACTTTGAATATATCCCTTTGGATCTGTGAAATTTCTTGTGAAAAATCTGCCTTTAACCTTATCTCTTTTTTTAGGGGGGGGGGTCCTTTGTAGGCAACAAGCTGTTTTTCTCTTGCTGCTTTTATTTATTTATTTATTTATTTATTTATTTATTTATTTATTTATTTATTTTTAAAGAGTTATTTTATGCATACAAGACCTGGGGTAAGGCCAGCGGTGGGGGACAGGGGGTGATGAGAGGATTCACCAGAGACAGAGTGAGGAGCAGAACAGGCAGATCTACTGAAATACACTGCTGAGGGGAGCAGTAGGTGAGACAGGAGAGGTCTGCTGCACCATGTGGGTTTCTCCCCCGCCGGGGATCGAACTTGTGCTTGCAGTGGCTGCAGTTAGCTTCATAGGTTGCATCCCAACCCCTTGAGCCACCAGGGAGGCCCTCTCTTGTTTTTAATATGCTCTGTTTACCTGTAATGTTTGATTCTAATTATATTGTGTCTTGGTGAGGGTCTCTTTGGGTTTATTTTGTGAGGAACTATCTGTGGTTCTTGGACCTGGATATCTGTTTGCTTCCCAAGGCTGGGGAAGTTTTCAGTCATTATTTCTTCAGCTGGGTTACCTGTCCTTTGCTCTCACTCTTCCTTGTGGAACTTGTGCAATGTAGATGTTGTTCTGCTTGATGTTGTCTGGTATTTCCCATGAGGCAATTTCGTTTTTTTTTTTTTCCCAACTTATTTCTCCATCGGCTGCTGCTCAGAGTGTGTGTACCCTGGCCCTCCGTCTTCTAGCCCACCTGTCTGTTCCTCAGCTTCACCAGGTCTGAGTGGAAACCCTCTGATGTCCTTCTCAGTTCGGCTTTCTGAAGATGAGCCCCACCTTCCCCCAGAATCCTTACAGAATCTTCTAAATGCAGAAGACACCGCCTTAGAAGCTGTGGGTTTGCATGAGCCGGCCAGAACCCCGGAGCCCCACTCACCTTAGAGCCCCTTGTCTTCAGCCTCACCACCAACACCAGGGGTCTTTGTGGGCCCTGGCGTCCCTCCTGGGACTTGGGTCCAGTTCTCCATCTTTGGTTAAGTACCCAGTGACCGTGGGCCGGGAGGACAGGGAAGCAGCAACATGACGGGAGCTGACTGTGCCACATGGGGAGAGCATGGGAAACTGACGATGTGGGGGCCCCACTGACCCCTCACCACAGACAAGACAGATGGGGCTTTCAGAGACCTTCACAGGGTCATACTGAGGGGGCGTGACTGGGCCCACCGTCAGTGTGTGTCCGGTAAGCCTGATGATGGTGAGCCAGGATATAGCCGGAGTTGAAAAATGCGCGTTATTTTAAGCAGCTCATGCACGGAGAGGGTGGTGCTTCTCCGCGCCAGCCCTGGGGCGCAACTTCCGTGCCACCCTTGTCCCGATGCTCCTTGAATTTGGACCCAGAGGAATCTTTTCTCTGCTGATGTAGATAAGAAAGTGCTCATCGTCTACGCCCACCAAGAACCCCGCTCTTTCAATGGCTCCCTGAAGACAACGGCGGTGGAGGAGCTGAGCAGGCAGGGCTGCGCTGTCACCGTGTCCGACCTATATGCCATGGGCTTTGAGCCGCGCACCATGAGGCAGGATATTGTTGGTGAGTCTGGGATAAACGCTGTGGATGCTTCTTGTTGTTGTTTTTTAAGACTTTCTTCTTCTTTTTTTTTTTATTTCTTTTTAATTTTCATAAGGTAACATCAAATTGCCCGCCCACATGTTGCACCATTACACCCCCGCTGCTCTTTTGCTTTCTCTCCTCTTAAGTGATCTGCACCCTCCATGCATATATGCGAGAAGTTTTTTTCCTGCCCCAGTTTTATCGAGATATATCACAGGCCCTCAAGTCATGTCACTTTCTTTGACGTCCATCTGCAAGTATTGAGTCTGGCCTCCACCCTCCTGTTGTTCAAGTAGCGCTCACGTCCTTCTGTTTGAAGTTCTGTCAGCAAGAGCTCTGGGTTTTCATCCCAGGGGCATCCTTTCTTCTCTTTTATAAATCAACCAACTGTTTTCACTTAATGCACAGCAGAGCAGGGACTGGGAAAACAGCGGAAATGATGGCCTGGAGCTACTCACTTTTAAGTGAAGGAAGCACCACAAGCTACTGTGAAAAATACTTGTCAGCAGAGGGCACCAGGGTGAAAAGCAGACACCTCTTTGATGTGTCTCTCACACTCCACACCTCAGTGACAGACAAGCTTGACTTTCCACACAAATGTGCACAAAAGCACCTGCCCATGGATCTCCAAGGCCGCAGAAGTCCATGGGGCCCTCACCTCGGGACTCACTGGCTTCACTTAGACTCACTGGTGACATAGCCTTCAGGTCCCCCAAGCCAATTCCCCCTGTTGATTTAGAGCTCCATGGTCTCCAGCTTTGACTCGAGCCCTGTGTTAGTATTTCTTTTATGGCTCTGGATGTCCTGTCTTGCTTAGAAAGACCTCTCTTGCTTAAGCCCTGGGGCTTCACATGTGCAGGGAAAGTTTAAGCTCCCTAGCAAGAGACTTCAAGATCTGACCCTGCTCTCTAGGCCCATCACCTGCAGCCTTGCGGCCTTTCCCCCCTTCCTCAGGTGTGCTCCCAGGGGCTCTGTTGAGGGCTGGCCAGGTCATAGAACACCTCACTGTCTCTGCATCTTTTTCCCAAGATGTCCAGTGCTCTAGGCTCCCTGGTAAACTCCTGCTCCATCCTCAAAACCCGATTCACAAAGCCCCTCTCCAGGAACACGTTTGCTCAGCCATCCAGGCAGAGCTGGCACTGCCTTAAGGCCACCGCTGTGCTTGCTTCACACCCCAGAGCTAGATCACATGCATCCTGCTAGGTGTGTCTGGCCACAGCATTGGGCTGAGCTCGCTGACTAGTAAGGTCTTTTGTGTTAATCATTTAGCTCCCAATTCACTTCTCCTACTGCATTGTGAGTCCTGCAGCAGTAAGGACAGTAACATCTACAACTCTCACTCTCATAGCCTGACCCCCAGGGAGCTGTACCTGGTCAGGCCTCAGGGAATGACTTGTGATTCACTTGGCAGAGTGCAGATAACATACATTGCTAATGAGGGTGGCTGGGGGCCTGAGGATCTCCCTCGGGGGCTAAAACATCAGGTCCCGTTCCTCTACAGGTGATCTCTCGAATCCCAAGCATTTCAATTACGGGGTGGAAGTGTATGAGGCCTTCAAGAAGAGGTCACTGACCAGTGACATACTCGCCGAACAGAAGAAGGTTCAGGAAGCAGATCTGGTGATATTTCAGGTCCATTTTCCTGCTAATTAGCATATTGAATTAGATTCCTTCTATGTACAAACTCCAAACACAGAGTTCCATGCCCCTCAAAGTAGCACTGATGTTTTTGAAAACACACTGGCATGTTTACCTCCGTCCGGTGGGGTCGAGACCCCTCCCCGGTAGTCACTCAAGATCCTGACCCTGTGGCAGTAGGAAGCGTTTTCCCCTTAGCCTAGAGAAACCCCTGAATCTCGCCCATCCATCCCCCTCCAGTCTCCACCCAGATATGCAGGGGTTGCATGAAAACCAGATTTGTCTACACTGGTGTCCATCAAGGTAATTCAGGCCAAGCACGCTCCTGCCTTAAATATCCTGCCAGTAACAAGCAGGGTTTAGTTGCTGCCTGCCCCCTTCCCCCCCACCCCGTCCCACCCCAGTCCCACCCCACCACCTCACCCTCCCACCTCCCAGGTGTCCACTCACAAGCTGCCTCTGGACAGTCATCCACCACAGAAAGAGCTGCCCAGGACCCGGCTCCAGGGGCTCATCAGAGCCACCCTCCCCCCAGAGTCGGCACCACAGGCAGACCTGCAGGTGGCTTTAGGGAGTTGGCTGGTTGAAATGCAAGTAAAAAGGGAATAGAGAGAGGATTTAGTCTACTGGCCCTGCTCAATCAGGTCTCCTGAAAACACAGGCAGAAGAGGTGGACATGGGAGAGGGGGGCTGTTAAGACACGTCTGCCCCCGCCAGCCCCCCACCGCACCCTGGGTCACTCCTGTTGCTCACCACAACCCAGGGGCTGGGGCTGCTGGGACCAGTTTCCAGACAAAAGACATCCAGAGAAGTGACATTCCCAAACCCTCCCTTAAGTGAACTTGCATGTGTCGGGGCGGAACCTCATGCCTTCTCTGCATTCTCCCACACACACACTCCCAGACTGGCCTCTGGGTCCCCTCCAGCCAGCCCAACTCTTCCCCAGCCCCCCGAGCTCTTGTCTGGGCTCAGTGCAGGATGTCCTTTCTCCTAACCGCCCTGGGTGGGTGGCAGTGCCTGGGACATGGGTGGCTACGCGGTTTATCATCTGCAAGCCAGCAGCGACACTGGACAGTGGGCCTGAGTGAGACCTGCTGGCAGCCTGGGCCCCAGTCCCCACTGTGAGGCCCAGCTACGACTCTTCCTGTCTACTTGGGGTCAGCAGACCAGGTGGACCCAGCTTTCCCCTCCCCCTCCTGCCAGTGTAACTGGACAGCTAGGACTGGCCCAGGCCTGCTCCTTTTATAATGGCTTTTTTCCTACCCCATTTCACACCTGTTCTCCCCCACCTACCTTCTTTTCCTGAGGCTTCGCCCTGAGGGTCTACATTTTTTAAGTGTGTTATTATTCAACACTAAGCGCTCTGCTCATGGAGCACTGGTGCTGTCTGGGCAATGTAGCCTGCCATGGGGTTCTCGCAAGGTGCTATGAGCTCAGAACTAGTCATGGCCCCACTTGCCAGTCAGGAAAACAAGGCACAGAGAGGTCAAGTCACTTACCAGCATCACACAGCAGTAGGGTCAGGAGCTTGGCTTCAGTGCTGAGCTGGCCCACCCCGTGCCCCCATGACTCCCCAAGTGCCTGGGGGGAGGAGGAGAGTGGGAGTCCTCTGAGCGGGCGGGTAGCCCAGGAGAGCCACCACCCTCAGCGTCCCTCTGTCTGGTATTGACCCCCAGTTCCCACTGTACTGGATGAGCACACCCGCCATCCTGAAGGGCTGGATGGACAGGGTGCTGTGCCAGGGCTTCGCCTTCAGGTTCCCCGATTTCTACTACGACACCGGCTACTTCAAGGTACGTGCCTGGGAGGGCAGGGAGTCTGGTCTATAGATACTATGCGGCGCTATTTCTAGAAATTGCTCTACCTGTACATTATAAGTATTGTAACTACATATAATATGTACTTTATGTGCATATGTACTTACAAATAATACATACAGGGCTTGTAGTTATAGATTTATATGCTTATAATATGTAATTATATACAGATACATGGTATATTGTATCACATTATGCATGGGTACCATAATACATAGAAGTATTTAGTAAAATATCTTTCTAGGTGGCTTTTATTTCAGCAGGTCTTGACTGGGGACTGCGTATGGTTCCCACGGCAGGGTTTCTGAAGTTGTGGGCTTTCTGTCTAGTGAGGGCTGCAGCCATGTCCATACTCCCTGGAGCACGGTGGGGGAGGGCCTGGGGGCAGAAGTCAGCTCCCAGAGTGGCACCTTCCCCAGGATACAGCATGGAGCCTAATCGCTCTTTAGGCTACCCCTCTGAGCTCCGCATTCCTGCTGACAGACAAGTGAATAGCTAGGTCCCGGGGCCGGGCAGCACAGCCCCGGGAGGTGGGCAGCACAGCCCCGGGAGGTGGGCAGCACCACTACGACTGTACATTGCTTCCTGAGTTCTGAAAGCCTCAGGAAATAAGTGAGGAAAGAGTGACTCAGGAAGCCCCACACTGGAATGGGGGTGATGCTGCGTTGCTGCCTGGCCCCTGCGCCGGGTAGAACTCGCCACCTCATTTCACCCTTTGGTCACCCTTGGGGTCTGCACCTCACTTGACCATTTCCTGGGGCCAGCTCTACCAGAGTCTGGGGAATCAGAGCTGTGTCTGCTCCATCTGTTCCCTCCCCATGCCGCTTCCCTCCCTGCCTTCCCTTGGAGGTGGCTGTCCTGTCTCTGGCACCCCCGGGGATGTTACACTTGTGCATCCCCGGACAGCACCGACTTGGGATGTCCCCTCCCGACCATTCTGAGCCTTCAGGCTGGATGTGCAGCTGCCGCCTCTGGAGCCACACAGATGTAGCTGCCTTCTCCCCTGCAGGACAAGCTAGCCCTCCTCTCGCTGACCACGGGCGGCACGGCCGAGATGTACAGTAAATCCGGAGACATGGGGGATATCCGCTACTATCTGTGGCCTCTCCAGGTACATTCACACCCACTCCCCTGCAGCTCCCCTAGGTAGAAAACAAATGGGAGGCGAGCCTGAAACCCAGGCCATTTGCACCCTACCTGGACACAGGAAATGATACCCTCTTGCCTTTTAATTTTTTTACTGAAAACAAAGGTTGGGTGATTGGGAAACATGTATTGTTACATGTATTGTAACAAACATATATTGTTAACACTGTTGCTTGGGTGGAAGCTAAGCTGGAGCCACAGATGGGGCCCGAGTGTGTGCTGGCATGGGGCAAAGAGCTGTCCATGCTGACGCTGGCCCCCGTCCGGAGGGCGCCATTGTCCTTGAATCTTGGCAAGAGATGCCCTGGCCCCAGATTCAGGACAGCTCACACCCAGGGACCCCCTCCCCAGGACCCACTCAGAGCACAGGGCCTGCTCTCCCAGTGGCCTCCATGTACTGGGGTGCACAGCCTGTACCCCAGGGTGCCTAAGAATGGCCATGTGGGGAGTGGAGCGTAAGCAAAGCATGTGCAGGCAGACTGCGGTGTCACGCGTGAGGCAGGCCTGGTGACAGTGTGGGGGCTCCGAGGGAAGGGTTGGCTCTGGGTCACGCCCCCTCATCAGGAATAGGAGCCCCAGCAGCAGAGCTTGGGACTAAGCTCCCGGCTGTGCAGAGGGTGTCCATCAAGGGGCAAGGCGGCGCAGGCCCAAGGGTCTGACCTAAGGAACGCAGACAGGCGTGTGGGCCTGGACAAGGTGTGGAACGCACAGGGAGGAAAGTGGTACTTTTCTAGAAAAAAAGTGTTGCTTCCTTGAGAAGATTCAGCATGTTGATTCCATTTAGCATTGGTCTGCTGAAGAAAATGTCCATTTAGGATGTCTAAGCTCGAATTACCCGGGGAAGGTATTGCGCTGCATGGGGTGGGCTAAGGCTCCTGTCACTCCCCTCCAGATCTAAACTCCTGTCAGTGCCAGAGTGGACATTAAACAGAGTGCCAGTGCAGCTTGGGGGGGGGGGGCTGCTCGGAGGGTCTTTTCATACCTTTACTCTGCACCCTGCACACCAGGCCTTGTTCCAGGCGCTGTCCTAGGTGCTGGGGCTTTAGCCTGGAGACTGTGGAGACCTGTAGAAATCACATGAGCCTGAGGGGCAGGGAGGCTGACTGCAGAGACCCCACCATTTAGAAGACAGAAGTGCTCTTGGCCTGGTTCAGCATAGTTGTTTATTTTGTCAAAAACAACAAAATTGCCATTTACAAACCTGAACTTACTTCCCCACAGCATGGGTCTCTTCTGTGTCATTAGCTAAGTGTAAACTCTCCTTGTTTTTCAACAGTGTTTACAAATTTTTTTCAGTTGCAAAAGTCAACATTATAGGAAAAAATGAGACTATGAAATATAAAAATAGAGAGTCCTCTTAGTCCCCCCACTGCAGAATAGCCACTTCTAATAATCTGATGGATTTCCTTAAAGCCCACAAATATTCTTACATACATATATTATTAGGTTTATTCATTAATTTTTTACACGTCTGGTACACAACAAAGACTGCTTCGAATTTGTTGCGGTGGTTTTCATTTCATGTGTATCTTGAGTAACCTTCCTCGGAGGTGCTCTGCAGGGAGGATAATCTCACGCAGGGATGATCCATTGTCTGAATGTGCCGTGACTTATCCAATCCACCAAAGCCATAAAAGTCGCGTCTGAATCAGGAGCAAAGATGGCAGGTCCATCCCAGTCATCAGGATAGAACTGGGACCCTCTCGCGGCTCGAGACCCTCCGCTTCCCTCGTGGAGCTCGCACCCTGAGGCTCTAGGGGTGTGGGTACTCGCTGTGCCAAGGCTGTTCCTTTGCTCTGAAGGCGTATCTCACACCGTGTTCCCCACCCCCCCCCCACCCCCCCGTCCCCCTTGTGCCGGGAAGGCCCGGCCCTGATGGCTCTCTTCCCCCTGGCGGCTATAGCACGGCATTCTGCGCTTCTGTGGGTTCAAGGTGCTCGCCCCGCAGATCAGCTTCGCCCCGGAGTTCGTGTCGCAGGAAGAAAGGAAGCTCATGGTGGCGTCCTGGGCCCAGAGGCTGAAAAACATCTGGGAGGAGGAGCCAATCGACTGCAGTCCCGCCTGTTACTTCGATCAGTGACGAGGGGCGCCCAGTGCTCGCCCCAGGCCTGGCACGTGGGAAGGGCGGAGGACACCCTTGGCGCCTGAGTTCTGCCCCGCGCCATCGCCCATCTCCAGGCCCCCAGGCCTGCTTCCTGCCGTCCTCCTGGCTCCCCACTTCCACCCTTTAGGGCAATGCTGTTTTCACTTCCTTTTCTCCGGGGGGAGCTGCACTTCTCAGCTTTCTTGTTTCACTTCGTGAGTCAGCCTGCGTCACCATGCTTTTTCCTGGGAAATTGAATCTTTTCACAGCCAGTGTTTGAGGGCTGTGTTTACAGTTATTTCTCGTGTGCTTTTTTAACTTGCCTGATGGTTATGAAGTTTTCTGTGAACAGCCAAATTAACATTTATTTAAAATCAGTGAATGGCCATTACCAAGAAAACTTCCTGGCTGGTCCCACGAGGCACGTGCGCACCTACCGCTGCTAGTAACTGCCTTGAAGCTGACGCCCCTGTCAATGAGGTGCGGCCCAAAAAGCAAGTTAAGGTGTCCAGTGACATCACCACGGGGACCAAGCCGCTGCCCTTGGGCAGGGGCTCTTCTTCCTTAATGTCCCCAGTGCCGCCCACGGCCCCCTTCTCTTCAGACTCATCACCCAGCTCTTCCCCGGATCCCGTCCTTAGGCACTGGGCTGGAATCTCCATCTTCTAAGAGCTGTGTGCCCACATCATCTTTCTTCCTTGTCCTCTGCATCAGCAGTGTCCAACCCTTTTCCACCTGCATGTTCTTAGTATTCCTCATCAAATACTTTGTTCGAATGTTCCTTCTCCCTTTCTGTCTGAATGTCTGCTCATTCACAGCCATCTTCACATCCTGATTTTTCAGAGGTATTTTTTTCTAAGTCTCAACACCGTTTTCTTCTCAGGGGCTGCTCCCCATTCCTTCTCAGTGTCTCCTCAAAGCCACTGTCTTCACAGTCTCTGTGAGGCTCTCATCCGAGGCCATTCTCCACAGCTTGCAGGCGCCATGCCCTTGAGTATTATTTCAAAAGCATCTTCTTCAAAATCTCCCCCATCTTGGGCCTCCCCGGTGGCGCAGCGGTTGAGCGCTGGGTTGCGAAGCTGCCCGCAGCCTCTGCAGCATCGGTTCGATCCCTGGCTGCTCCGCGGCCACCAGAGGAGGGTCCCACATGGCGCGCAGACCTCTCCTGCCGCCCGCTGCTCCCCTCAGCAGTGTACTTCGGTCCTTCTGCCTGCTCTGCTCCCCGCTCTGGCTCTGGTGAATTCTCTCACCTTCCCGCGCTTCTGACTGTACCCAGTGCTTGTATAAATAATAAATAAATAAATCTTTAAAAAAAAAAAAAAATCTCCCCCATCTTCATGATTTTTTGCAAAATGGTTTTCCGTGTACAGGTGATCCTTCACTTTTCTCTGAAGTTCTTCACTGGCTGGGCCTCTGCTGACCACCTTGGTGTCCTCTGTGCCATGGTGAGGGTGGTGGCCTTCAGCAGAGTAGCATCAGCAGGGCAGTCCCTAGGGTCAGTTCTTTAATGGTGCTGGAGAGTTCTTTGGCTCAAGGTCGGTGCCAAATCTGTCAGGCTATGTTTCCAGTCTCCTCAGAAGTGATATTTCCTCCATATTTTTGGTTCTGATACCGGAATTGTCAGGCCTAGTCTTCCAGCCAGAAACGGATCCCAGGCTGCAGGGCAGCGCTGAGCCCCAGCCACTAGACCCCCCCATGGGTTGGTGTCTCACGAAGCCGCAGCAGGAACTTCGCAGACGCTCAGGCAAGCAAGCGAGAAGAGGCAGTTTGTTTATAGAAAGAAAAAGTTTATTGAGGAGAAAAAGAGCAGAAATGAAGTGGGACTCCCAGGCCAGGGAACCAGGCCTGGGAGGGGCAAGGAAGCCCAAGTGGAGTCGTGTCTCAGGGAATATAGACCTTCTTTCCCTCATTATTCTAAAACTTCACCAGTCTCTCTGTGATTGGTTAGCTCTCGGCTGTCTCACTCAATTCGCTACTGAGTGGGGATCTTCACATTCCTTATCCAACAGCCTTCTCTTTCCCCATTTGTTGCATCTTTAAATTCATGGCCCAGTCCTCTGGATGGGCATCCCTGCATTGAAGTTAAGCAGCTGCCCTTCTAATGTGTCCATAAATTAAACCACTCTCCATTTCTCCAGTCTCCGCCTCCCTTTACCACCTGAAGGAAACCAGGACCAGCATTAACAATGTTGTCCTTGGTCCTGGCATGTTTGTTTTTCCTAATGGAATGGGTTACTTTCCCTTGCTTGTCCTTATCTCTGAAGCCTCCCTAAATTCTTCAGAGGTCCCCTCCTGCACTGTGGCTAAAACTGCCTAATTCCTAGCTTGCCCTGTGTCTCAGTTCTTTGCTTCTTTCTGTGTCTTGGCAGCTCCTTGAGGCCTTTGATGATGAGGGCAGAGACCGAAGGGACCACCTCAGTCTGGGACTGTCCACAGTGGTCACTTTCACTGTCATCCTCAGACCCTTCCAGTTACCCATTGACTTAAATATCATCATCAACTTTTTTGGGGGGGGTCAGACCACAGGGTGTGGTACTCTCTGTTCCAAGGCTGTTCCAAGGCACACATGGCACCACCTTCCCCAGCAGTGCCCCTCAGGTATGTGGTGGTATCATCATTACTAAATTTTAAAACTAAGACCTCACTCCTTGCCCAGCAAGCACATTTGGGAGGCTTGAATGGATAAAGGGAGGGGATGGGGCAGCCATGGGGCCGGGTGGTTAAGCTGATGGCCCAGGTCCTCAGTCAGGACACACCCAAGACTGCTCACACCAACCATCACTGATGACTGGAACATAAACAGCCTCGGAACCCTCTCTCTGCACAGACTCCTGTCCCCCACTGCTCCTCCTAGCAGAGTATTTCAATAAATGCACCTTTTCTGTTCTATCCCTGGTGAATTCTTTTATCCCCACGCCTCCGGCCTCACCCCGATCCTTCCTGGCAACAAGGTCTACAATTATGATTGTGTTGAGGCCAAACTTAGACCGCATGGTGGAGGGGCTGGTGTCGGGTGAACCCAGATTCGGGGCTACAAAATGGCTACACGTTGGTCTTCTCTGAGCCAAAAGTCCATCATGGACAAGTTCTTTACATGCACTTAGTCATGGTTTCTTGAGTGCTCAACTGGATGTACCAGGTGCTTTAGAAAGGCTTTTGTTTAGAAGATCCCACTCTGAAAGAAACACGGAACCTGAACACTGAACACCTCCACTGGCTTTGGGGACACTAAAGAAAACTCCTCTCAGCTGCTCCCTACCCCCACCCTGCCCTTTTCAATGGGGTCTTCTCACCTAATCTGGGCCCCACCCCATGCTCAGTGAGGATTTGATGGCCTCTACACCACCTTCCCTCCAGGGCTGGTTTCTGCCCCTTTGCCCTGCTTGCTTTCTCTTTTTTTTTTTTTTTTCAAAGATTTACTTATGCATACAAGAGCTGGGGTGTAGGCCAGAGATGCAGTGGGTGAGAGGATTCACCAGAGGCAGAGTGGGGAGCAGAACAGGCAGACTGACTGAAATACACTGTTGAGGGGAGCAGCGGGCGTGTCAGGAGAGGTCTGCTGCGCCATGTGAGTAGCTCCCTGGCCAGGGATGGAACTCATGCTGCAGTGGCTGTGAATAGCTTCATAGTGCTGAGGTGTAACCCCTCGCACCAGGCTTCTAAACAAAAACCCTGCTTTCTTTTGGGGCAGTACTTCCCAATGTGCCCTGGGTTCCTGTCCCCAGACTCTGTCTCTGGAGCCCTTCAAAGTCGCCGAGAATTCTGCTCACGTGTCATCCAGGTAGCTCAGATTCAACATGTCATCACCGGACTCATCCTCCGGCTTCCCACCCCTCCACCACTACCTCCTACCCCAGTGACCAGAGTGTTCATTTGATGCTCTGCCCCCAAATCTGGGATGCACCTGGACTCATAGCCAGTTGAGTTTCCTGTCTTGTGATTAAAATTAATCATTAATCACAAATGCCTGCTATTGCCATCTACAGTTCGGCCAGTCATCCAAACCTTTTCTGCCCTGGATTATTGGGACACCCTCCTAAATCATTTTTCCTCAGATACCTTGTCCCTTATAGCTCATTTTCTACAAAATTCATAATCTTTGAGCGAGAACATGTGTGCAGATATGCACATACCCTTCCTGCCACTCTTACTCATTCTTCAGAGGTTTCTCATGGTCTTAGAACTGTCCAGAATCCTTGAGCTGGCCTGTGAGGTGCTATGTAGCCCTGCCTCCCTTCTTCTGCTGTGTCTCCTTCCCAGATCTCACCTGACATTCTCACCCTGAGGACCCGCGGCTGTCCTGGAGCAGGGCCTCAGTCTGGGCTCCTCCCTCCGGCCCGAATGTTGGGCCCGTTTCCTCCCACTTTGCACGACACCTTCTGTTCATGATAAGGAAGCCCTTCCTGGGCCCTGTGCTTCTCCTGGCTTTACAAACACTAGGTAGTGGCTTATTCACACAGGAAGCACAAGCACATTCTTGTCCCTACATGTTTCTAATGCCAAGACACTGTCACCCCCACTGTGAGGATTCAGAGTGCTCAGGAAAGCCCCAGTTTGTAAGGGTTAGTCACTGGTTGGGATGACCCACGGAGGTGGGGACAATGGGTCTCCCGGGAGCAGCCCAGGAGGAGGGCACTGAAGCCAACCTGGGGGAGGGGATGACTGGAGAAGCGCCAGCTCTGGGGGCAGGGGGACAAGAGGAGAGACAGCACCAAGGACTGGCGAGGAAGCCGAGGGGACAAGGACCAGGCCAGAGAGAGGGGCTCTGCCTGGGTGGAGGAGAAATCTGGGAGGGAATGTGCCGCCGTCCATGGCCAATGTCTGAGCTTCCTCGGGGTCTTTCCCCAGGAACTGAAGGAGGACAGGGGAGGGGGCACTGGCCTCCAGGGCCCCCAGACCCACAGAGCAGCTACTCGGTTTCAGAAGGTTCTCTTCAGTTCTCTCCTGTTGTGCAGTTAAGTCCCAGAGCTCAGTTTGGAGAGAGAGAGAAAAATCTTCCCTTTAAAAAAAAAAAACGATTTATTTATGCATACAAAAAGTGGAGTGCAGGCCAGAGGTGCAGGGGGTGAGAGGATTCACCAGAGACAGAGTGGGGAACAGAACAGGCAGATCTACTGAAACACACTGCTGAGGGGAGCAGCAGGCAAGACAGGAGAGGTCTGCTCGCCATGTGGGTAGCTCCCTGACTGGGGATCAAACTTGTGCTGCAGTTGTTAGGGGAAAAAGGCTGTCCTAAAGCTAATTCCATACAGGCTTTGTAGACTCCACCTCCCACTCCAGACCAAAACCAAAAGACACTGGGAGCTCCAAACCCCATCACCACCAAAGGGAACGTGGCTGGGACCTGAGGGTGGGGTTAAGCAGCCAGGTGTGGTATAAAGCCAGACACGTGGGCTTTGGAGGGGAATCCCCCATTTTTGGCTTTCCGCCAGCTTGCAGTGTTCGGCCAGCTCTGAGAGTGCCTTTGGGTTTCCAGGTCAGTGGACCGGGTAGGACGCATTAAAGACTTTATTTCCCTATTTCCTACCTGAGTTGTACATTTCATCATTTCCTTTTCCCTCGTAAATAAACCTTTTATTAACCTTTTGTGTGTGCCTGTAGTGGAGTATTTATAAGTCCCTATTAAGCACGCGGGTGACGACCCACAGCCAGGCAACTGTTTTATTTTATATCGGGGCTGCCCTGTAACACAGTGGCTACAGATAGCTTCGTAGGTTTGGTCTTAATCCCTTGCACCACAAGGGAAGCCTGAGAAAAGGCTTCTCTTGCTCACAGGAGGAAAGGTCTCAGGAATTGGGGAGTGCAGTGAGGCCTCACTTTAGCATTGGCCCCTAGGTACTGGAAACTGCTGCTTGAAGCCAGACAACATGTCAAGAAACCAGTCTGACCATAGGCTAATTGATAGAAACACGTTAATTTCCCACGGCCTATTTCTGGTGAGAAAAGCATCACCAGACTTCCAAGAACAGACCCCAAACACTTCTAATGGGCAAGAAGTAGCCTTTGTATTCATTCTCTCACTCACTCACTTCCCAATGAATGAATGCTCCAGGTGACCTGAGACTGCCTGGTGGCTCAGAGGGCAAAGTACCCCCACCCCTCTCCCCCTTCCCTTCCCTCCTCCCCTCCGTGCTCAGCCATCACAAGACACATTCCCCTGGGGCCTCTG